AAGTACATACAAAGCAGGAAGCCTGCTAAACAACACTGGGGCACTGGATGATCGAGTTGCTAAAGGAGCACTCAAGGACGATAAGGCCATTGCGGAGAAACTAAATGAATTCTTTGCATCAGTTTTCATGGCTGAGGATGTGAGGGAGATTCCCAAACCTGAGCCATTCTACTTAGGTGACAAATCTGAGGGACTGTCCCAGATTGAGGTGTCATTAGAGGACGTTTTGGAACAAATTGATAAACTAAACAGTAATAAGTCACCAGGACCAGATGGTATTCACCCAAGAGTTCTGAAGGAACTTAAATGTGAAATTGCAGGACTACTAACTGTAGTCTGTAACCTATCATTTAAATCTTCTTCAGTACCAAATGACTGGTGGATAGCTAATGTGATGCCAATTTTGAAAAAGGGCTCCAGAGGTGATCCCAGCAATTACAGGCAGGTAAGCCTGACTTCAGTACCGGGCAAACTGGTTGAAACTATAGTAAAGAACAGAATTGTCAGACACATAGATGAACATACATTTGTTGGGGAAATGTCAATGTGGCTTTTGTAAAGGGAAATCATGCCTCACCAATCTACTAGAATTCTTTGAGAGGGTCAACAAGCATGTGGACGAGGGGGGTCCCGTGAATATAGTGTACTTAGATTTTCAGAAAGCCTTTGACAAGGTCCCTCACTAAAGGCTCTTAAGCACAGTAAGCAGTCATGGGACAAGAGGGAAGATCTTCTCATGGATCAGTAATTGGTTAAAAGACAGGAAATGAAGGGTAGGAATAAATGGTCAGGTTTCACAATGGAAAGAGGTAAATAGTGGTGCCCGTCCCCCGGGCCTGTACTGGGCCCAGTCTTATTCTATATATTCACAAATGATCTGGAAAAAGGGGTAAAAAAGTGAGATGGCAACATTTGCAGATGATGCAAAATTACTCAAGATAGTTAAGTCCCTGGCAGACTTTAAAGAGTTATAAAGGGATCTCACAAAACTGGGTGACTGGACAACAAAATGGCAGATGAAATTCAATGTTGATAAATGCAAAGTAATGCACAGTGCAAAACATAGTCCCAACTATACATCCAAAATGATGGGGTCTAAATTAGCTGTAAACACTCAAGCAACCCAATATAACGCCTTCCAGTGTTTCTCCCCCCTCTTAGTGAAAAAATGT